CAGAACTTTTCTCGATTTTCTCTGGTGACAATAACAAAAAAGAACTTTGCGGAAGTTCATGGGCATTTAGGTTATCGCAAAAGTGAAAAAGCTCACCGTAACAGAGTTCTGTCGTCGCATTAAGGCAGTTCAGGGCGAGTAAAATCATTCAAGTGTACAGCTTCGAAAAAAATTGCGTCTAACGTAACGGGATAAAATTATTAGCAATTGTCTCGTCACAGATAGTTTTAATAGCGACAACTTTATCGTGTTATTTGTTGCAGTTGCTCCGATATCACAGTCCGGAGTATTTCCTTTATTAGACGCACACCACGACAACAACAGAAACATGGCAGGTATACGCTTGCCTGGCTATTAAAGACGGCCAGCACTTTCTTCATGACCTGAAGGCAGGAGGGGTCAGAAATTGAGCGTATATACACTTCATCAGTGGCTTTCGTCGCCAGCATTTGCCCGAGGGCATCTCACCCTGGACTCGCGTGCCGCGATTGCCTTCTTTTCTCACGACCCCGTTATCCAACGCTGCTGCTGTTGTTGCTATGGGTGAGTCCCGCGTCATTTCCAGCGGGTTCCCCGAAGCGGCAGAGTATAGGACAGTGGTGTCGCCAAAGCCGAGTGGCCCGGGACAGTGTGCACGATGGAGCCGTGTGCCCTCGTCCCCCTCCCCGCGACCTTTTCCCCAACATCGGCACCCCCTTGCCTGTGTGGCTCTGGACGGGGTTCGCGGTGTAGCTGGTCGCGCCAATCTGCTTCTTTATACTCTTAGCCCACCTCAGAGGAGCTTCCTTTGTTTCCCTTATTCTCGTTGTCTCGGTATTGGTTACCGTATCTCCCCCGCTGTCGCTTTGTGTTTGCGTGGCCCCTGTTTCGCTCCATCAGACAGAGACGGCCAGTGCGAAGCGGCTTGGTAGCGTCGCTATACTGCCCCGGCAGTGTAGTGGCCAGCTACTCGTGGTTAAAAGAAAAAAACGAAAAAAAAGAATGCAGGTTAGATGGGCGGAGAGTCTTTGCGTGGCGGGGTCCTGTCCTAGAGAACTCAGACGTTGCGTAGCGCATCGATTAGCGATCGACCACTGGGACGGAAGTGAAGAGTTGGTTGGTGCGGTCCGTCGCTGTTCCTCCGTTAAAGGAGGTATGTGATAGCAAAGTAAAATGAAAGCTTCTTTTTACTCTTTCACCGTGTCACAAAGAAAACGGTGTCAGGGCTGCTGCGTGTTACGCGCTGAAAGTGAGCATGTACTGCCAGCATCAAATGAAACCCGAACAGCGACAAGCATTCGCGATCGCATATAGTGTGCACCGTCCAGTTATCGCCATTGACAGGCGCGGGCATCGTGTTAGGCAGCTCTGCGCATACATGCTTGCCTGTTCCTGGTGATATGTAGACGGCGCGCACTATATGATCGCTAAGGCTTGCCGCTGTTCTGGTTTCATTTGGCGCTGATAGTACCGATGCAAGAACAAAGGGCCGAAGGAGGCACACTTAAGGCACCAGACTTAGGCGAGACACAAGGAGACGTGCTGAGTAGAGTAACAGGCACTCTGTGTGTGCTCGCGGTAAACGGGTAGAAGCGAATGGAATGTCCCGTTACATGTCAGGTTATGATTATCGGCCCGTCCGATGCCGAGGGACCATTAGTAGAAGCAATGAAACTAAGATGTAACTAAGGGCAAAAAAAAGACAACTGATAAATTGACGGAATAAAGGAGTAAAAAACAAAAACAAGAAGAAAGGAGAATAATTGGTGCTGGTGCTGTATAGGCGTATACAATAACGTAACGGTTTTACATCCGGTGCGAAGGAAAAAAGTCGGTGTTAATACGAATGGGCAGCTCGTAAAGTGCTTCAGCAGAAGCGCCAAGGCTACGTCAAGTTCGACAAAACTGTCTCTTTACATGCAAAGTTCATAGATAGATTTAGCACCGGGAATCTCGTGCGGATTGCATATGCATGCTCTTCCGATCCTTGATACTCCCACCACACCGAAGGAGAATACAAAAGAACGCAAATGTTTGTGTGCGCATGCCCCTTTCGGGCCCAGGTGGGCTAGCTTATACGCACAGCCTTCGGAATAACGTCTGCAGTGGTTCAAGCAGAAATACCCAAAGCAACAGTGAACGGTGAAAGTACTCATGTGGCCCAAGACAGTCTAGAAATACTTTTTTTTCTCATTTCCATTTCCTTCGCCTCGTCAATTTCCTTCATTCTTCTGTGTATGCGCTTCATTTATGAGACAGTCCTTCACGGACAGCCTCCTACCGATGGCCCGCTCGTTTCCACCCCCGTAGGCACGTGGTGGTATCGCAATCAATTCCTCATTGTCATCCTTTCCAGAAAAGAAAAAAAGAAAGCACCAACTCGTTACCGAGGGCAGTGACAGAAACGCCTAGTCCTTGTTTCGTTATTTCTTCATTCCTATCTCACTTATTATCATTTCCTAGTCCCCTTACTACTCTCTTTATATGTCTCCTCGCTTTCAGGCTGGCGCAGTCGGAATGTCATTCAGACCGAAAAATAGAGGAGGCGCTGTTCAGACACACTGAAATCTGAAGTCTTTCAGCGCGAGCTTTGGGGTGGCTCGCGAGGAATTCTATTAAAGCTAAATGAGGTTGCCGTCTCGACTGCGTTGGGCTCCACGGCGAACACTACGCGACTGGGTGGGGGCAGACTGTCGTCGTCAAGGTGTCCCTGCATCTTGAAGGGACGCTTGCACGATTCTCTCGTGCGCACGCGTGCACGTAGGCGCGCATGCAAGCAAGCAGGCCTCGCCGATGGGGACCTAAAGAAGAGGCGGTCCGCACTCGAGCGTTCAGAGGCGAGGCATGGAGATGCAGCAGTACTCTATCCTCAGACGCGCTATCAAGCACGACGGCACACGCCCTGACCGGGGTAACGGCCGCAGTGCAATAAATTAGCGTAATGCAATAGTCTGCGGCGGTGTCCTGCGATTCTGCAAAATCCTTTCCTTGGGATTTCACGCCTCACTTGGCCACGCAGGCTAAAGTTGAGTCTCGGATGAAATCTTTCTTTCTTTCTTTCTTTCTTTCTTTCTTTCTTTCTTTCTTTCTTTCTTTCTTTCTTTCTTTCTTTCTTTCTTTCTTTCTTTCTTTCTTTCTTTCTTTCTTTCTTTCTTTCTTTCTTTTTTCTTTTCTTTCTTTTTTTTCTTTGCATGCATAACATTGACGAAGTTCCCAGAACTGGAAAGCGTTCGCGTTCAGCCAGAGGACATTTTTATTATTAGAAAAAGCTGGAGTCCTCGTGGTGTCCGCTGTTTTTTGTTGACCAGCCAGTAACACCTACCCAATTCGCCACCACCTCCTGGACCTTGGAGGCTATATGCGGAAGGTTGTCTCAGTGAATGGTGTGACAGTGAGCCATGGCAACCCACTTTGTTTGGTCTTGAATTTGTAGACAACCTTTAGACATTACCAACGTATAATAATAATAATAATAATAATAATAATGATAATAATAATAATAATAATAATAATAATAATAATAATAATAATAATAATAATAATAATAATAATATAATAATAATAATAACAACAATAATAATAATAATAATAATAATAATAATAATAATAATAATAATAATAATAATAATAATAATAATAATAATAATAACAATAATAATAATAATGTAAATGTGCTAAGAGTAACTTTTTGCTTAAATATTTAGATTAGGCATATTGAGCCAAACTCTTTCTTTATAGGGGTTCTGCAACACTTCTTCAGCACGGTCAGAGGGCGCTGTAGATCGGTAGTCGAGGCTCCTGAGACCTCGCCATCCCTACATTCTAGCGCACGACGGGGCCTGAAATATACATTGAATTATCAAAGTCAGCTTAAATTGCTCATAATTCTGTCTACAAATGATGCTATACACTCAAGTGATGACCTTGCCAAGTGCCACAATCCACGGCCATTGGCCGAGTTGAGCATCGTGGGACGCATAGTTACTTCGTTCACCGCGGGAGGCCACCACGTACCCACACGTGCTCTCTAGTGATCTCAGTGATAAGGTTCCCTAGATAAAAATAGTGAAGGTTAGCCACGCCTGCAAAGAAAACAAATAAATTGTACTCAAGGTCATGACACCCACGTGGCGTAACTTCTGTCTCCGTGCCATCCCTTACTGCGTAGCTTTTACTACATTCGTCGGGAAAAGAGAAAAGGGAAAGCAATTACAGCGTACGAAAAATGCGAAGCTTCACTTGTTCTGAACGGATTCTAAAATTTTTGTGGTGGTTGATTTGTGAGGCAATAAATCCTTCATGTGAATTCATTCAATGGTTATTTAGAAAAGTTTTGCAAGGGCGTTTAAGTCCTGCGTAAGCAGTCGACAACTATGGTGTACAAGTGTTTATACATATGGCGGCACTAGATTAGCTGCTCGCGTGTGTTTGTGCATCCGCCGCTGAAACAGCTTTTTTTGTTAACCGCTTTTTTTTTGTCGTAGAATCTACGTCATCACACAACACGTTTTAGGGCTCCTCCCCATCCTCGCTGGTACTAAGCAAGGTAGCGAGATATGGTAGCCGTATACGGTAATGCAGCACAGTAGTTACATTCCTCCTTTCTTGCTGGCGTGCTTTTGCCGCTTCCAGTTCTAGTGACAGTGAGTCCCCAGAAATACAGGTTCCTCGATAAAAATCGTTAGGTTGACAAGTAACAATAAGGTGTGACAACCCCATCGTAATTTTTTCGAGGAAAAAAAAACATTCGTCGCGTAGGGGAAGGGGGGAGTGATTCTTTAGAAAAAGACGGAAGGGTAAGAAAATGGGTGTCAAGCACACGACAACTGACTGCTTCGTGAGGATGCCTCAACCGATCGGGGTGCCTTCGCTGGCAAAAGCACAATGACCGGGATAAAGATGTGCGCCACAGCCATACGGCACAGAATTTGCGAACCGTATTTCAGTAACGTGCTAAGAGACTCTTCCGTATCTTACTCACTGGCGTACCTGATGTGACTTTCTCTCTCTCTTCCTCCCAGACGCGCCCCACGCGAGTCTGTCGCTGGGCCAAGGGCTGCACCTGGAGCGCATACACGAGGGCCAGGACGTGTACCTGGAGTGCGCCATCCGGGCCAACCCGTGGATCAGCGACGTCCTCTGGACGCTGGACGGCGAGCCGCTAGAAGACCTCACCGCCGTGCACAACTCCTCCTCGTCAGCGGCGGCGGTCGGCCCTGCGTCGGCCGCGTCGTCCGCAGCGGGTCACACGCCGCTGCCCCAGACGCACGTACTCCTGCAGGAGCAGTACCTGGTGCTGCGCAACGTCACGTCCAAGTTCACCGGCAGCTACGCCTGTCACGTTCGCAGCGCCAGGGGCGAAGCTGTCAGCAACTCGCTCGACCTCCGCGTCCAATGTGAGTCCGAAGCTCATACCTTCGTCTCGAGTCCGAGTTCACGTCTTATACTTCTCCATCTACTTTCGCACAGTCTAAGGCTCTCCATGCGCTTTTATTTATGCCATTCTCTTTTTCTTTCCTTTACCCTTTACTCGACAAAAATGAGTGCAAAGAACGAAATTACACTTCAGAAGTGCAGCAGCCGTTGGGTCTCTCGAGTCGCGCTGAGAGAAGATAACATTACATATATCTTCAAACGTCGAATCTCATTCGCTTTTCTTGTGCCTGTTTCGAATTTCTGATATACAAGATATAGTGATTACTCCTACTTCGGCATACACAGTTTCAATTTCGGTGTATGGAAGCACCTATTTCGGCACTCTCCTCCTTGCTTATGTGCCATTACCGTCACGCGCGCCATGGGAACCTTATAGAGTGCATCGACCGGAGAGTGCCTTGCTGTCCCGTCTATGGCGCCCCACTACCCATGAGCTCACGTACCGTCCTGTGTAACAGCCGCGCTCCGAAGAGCCTCGTTTGTGCCGTGGTCACGCTCGTTCTCGCGAAGCCAGCCAATCGGCTGTCTTCGGGAACACGTGACGGGAGTCTGCGATGAGGCTTCAAAGGTAACCCTCGCAGAATTAGTGCATGATATTCGATTGCGTCTCAACGCGCATTACATCGAAAGAAACCAAAAGGCAATAGACGTGTAACGTTACCCTATTTCCGTAACAGCGTCAGAGAAATTTTCTAAATGTTCTCAGACAGCTTGTTTACCTTTACACTTTTAATAAGGCCAAAAAAGTAAATATCTTTCTGCCACTAGTGTGCTCCTTTGAAATGATGATCAAAGCGTAACATAAAAATGCAGGCTCTTGTAATTCCAATCTTTGTTTAATTTGATCAGGAACAAGCTACCTACTAGAGAATAATTACTGCTTAAGTGCTATTTAGAATTCATATTCAGTATTTAATATTCAGAGTTTTTCATAGAAAAAAAGTCAATGTAAACACGTCGTTCTCACTTTTTCTTGATCTACAATAGCGTCAGAGTATTGCAGGATTCATTCACTATTTTTACCCAGCATCACAATAAAAACACGTTTTCACTTTAATTATATTAAAAAAAACAAGACGTGCAACGACGTACGCAAGAAAAGGTTAAGGCACCACAAACGCCGACTAACATCATTCTACAGAATAAATCAGTATAAAAAAAAAACGAGTCGTAGGTATTTCTTACGTTCATATCATAACTCGCAGGCTAAAGAGAGTGCGAAATTGAGACGGGTTTAATGTTTGTTTTCATCTTTTTCTTTAAGGCTGCCAATAAGCTAGGCAGATTTGTGCCACTTTGTAGAGAAAGAATGACCGAGTAAGAGCCAAGAAGCGGACTTACATGCGTTCGTTAAAACACACTTGCAGATTCACTGACTGTCATAGAGGTGTGGCGTATGAAGTTCCCTTTAGCTGCGGCCGCTTATAGTAATTGAAAATGAGGTTCCACTATGTCAGTCAATTGGTCGGTTAGTCGGTAAGTCGGTCGCCGGATAGTGAGCTGCAAAACTGCATCAAGGTCTTCGTGACCTGATATTATTAGAACACACCATATCACTAACCGAAGAGTCACCTTTATAATATATCTCAATATTGTCGAAAGTATCAGTTCAAACCAAAATTCGATCAATTCGCAGTTTTTTTACGGGCAAAAGAATGAAAAATAAACGTGTCTGGTGACTGGAGCACGGCATATCAACGACCGCGGTAGACCATTCTTAAGCCAACCATATATTTTCCCATGCGTGCCGGGTGGATAGGTTGGCCTATTACCTGACCAATGCACAGATAAGTTTTCACGCCTCCGTTTCTATCCATCGTTTCGTATACCTTTAGAATGCTTGTCTGATGTCTCGACTGCTTTCTCGTGTCAGTGTCTGCACGGCCTGACTTTTAGATTGAATCACTAACTCCACTCTCTGTTACTCGAGATGTTTTCACTTTCTCTGAATATGACTGCGTTGAAACTGATCTGGTTCGCGCGTAATTACGTGGCACTAGACCTGAGAATATTTATTTATTTATTGACTTATTTATTTTCTTATTTATTTATTGATCTATCTGTCTGTCTGTCTGTCTGTCTGTCTGTCTGTCTGTCTGTCTGTCTGTCTGTCTATCTATCTATCTATCTATCTATCTATCTATCTATCTATCTATCTATCTATCTATCTATCTATCTATCTATCTATCTATCTATCTATCTATCTATCTATCTATCTATCTATCTATCTATCTATCTATCTATCTATCTATCTATCTATCTATCTATCTATCTATCTATCTATCTATCTATCTATCTATCTATCTATCTATCTATCTATCTATCTATCTATCTATCTATCTATCTATCTATCTATCTATCTATCTATCTATCTATCTATCTATCTATCTATCTATCTATCTATCTATCTATCTATCTATCTATCTATCTATCTATCTATCTATCTATCTATCTATCTATCTATCTATCTATGTGCCGCGAGGATTCGAGCGAAAGAGGGTAAAAATATTGTCCTTTTGTTTTCAGGTTACTTGCAATGTCCACACTTGAGGTCGCCATTAAGTTGCTCGAATACTAATAGGAGACTTCTTGTTGGCGTGAGAGCGTGCTAAATGTGCTACAGCTAGCTACGCAATATCTGGTTTCAGCTGCGTTACTGCCATCATCAAGGCGCTCGAAGAAGAAGAGGATGAGGGCTTCTGTTAATACCATCATCAAGAGGCTTGAAGAACAAAAGAAATAAGACTGCTCGTGCAAGATAGTGCTGAATATACTACAGCTCGGCATGTTATATACTTGATTAGGCCAGTGGTATACGCCAAGCGACGACGGCAGCACGTGACAGCATAGTCAGCCCAACCCCCTGAAGTTCTCTACACTTGTCAACATTATTTTTGTGTGTATTGTGCACTTAGTGATCCGCAGCTGCTTTTATGAAATTTGTGACCCCGCCGCAGTGCTCTAGTGGCTAAGATACTCAGTTGCTGACCCGCAGGTCGCGGGATCGAATTTCGGCCGTGGCGGCTGCATTTTCGATGAAGACGACAATGTTGTAGGCGAACGGCTATTTGGGCTAGTTGGTTAAATTCCATTGCAATAAGGCTTGCAGCGCAAGCACGAAAGTGCTAGAAAAAAACTGAACGGAAGGCGAGGAACGGAAGGCACAGACGACAACACGAGCGCTCGTGTTGTCCTTTCTGCCCTTCCGTTCCTCGACTTTCAGTCACTTTTATTCAGGCACTTTCGTGTTTGCGCTGCAACCATTATCACAATGTTGTCAGCCCGTGTGCTCAGATTTGGGCGCACGTTGAAGAACCCCAGGTAATCGAAATTTACGGAGCCCTCCACTATGGCGCCTCTCATAATAATATAATGGTTTGAGACGTTGAACCACACACATCAATCAATCGATCGATCGATATATGTAATTTATGCATTCACTTACTGCATGCGCTCAAACAGTATCTCGGCCTACATCATGACCTTCCACAATAAAACCCAGAATTTGAGGCTAGACATCTGCTCATTTCTTATTTTAACTTTTCAGAGATCGATACACAGCAAGGCTTGGGTGAGGGCAGGAAAAAAAAAGAAGCAATACGTTGACCTACTTTTTAGAATTGTGAGTCACCATTGTTTTTGTTTACGCACATGTGTGCACTCGACACACGCGATTTTCAACAGAGACCATGGTACTGCATGCCGCCGCATTGATTCACTGTCAGGTTCAATTAAGACGTTGCGTGCAAGGCGATGGTAATTTACAGATTCCCATCTCTAGGGCAGCGTCTATCACTGTTGCGCTCTTTCTGTGTACGCATAAGTGTACATGAAATATTTATATACATATATGCATACTCGCTGACCTCGAGCGCATAACTGCCCCACTTGAATCTTAAATTGTGATAGCGTGGTGTTTTAAAAATGAGCCTCACGAAATAAGACGGGTCGTAAACACAGCTGTGCCACGCTGTACCACTTCAGAAGATTAAGGGAAATATTTTCGACAATAGAAAGAGGTATACCGTAGGTAATGACTGCTTGCAGATATTTTTTTTAAAGGACGGGTAGAGGGTAGACAAGGCATGGGCAGCTGGAAAGTCTGGTGGTGTGTTCACGAGCGTTTTGCTGAGCAGCATGATGCACCTAAATGAATGCGGTGGCAAGATGCGATAGACAGAAACAAATAAGAGGGACGCAATCGTGTGTGTGTGTGTGTGTGTGTGTGTGTGTGTGTGTGTGTGTGTGTGTGTGTGTGTGTGTGTGTGTGTGTGTGTGTGTGTGTGTGTGTGTGTGTGTGTGTGTGTGTGTGTGTGTGTGTGTGTGTGTGTGTGTGTGTGTGTGTGTGTGTGTGTGTGTGTGTGTGTGTGTGTGTGTGTGTGTGTGTGTGTGTGTGTGTGTGTGTGTGTGTGTGCGCGCGCGCGCGCGTGAGCGTGCGTGTGCGTGTGCGCGTGTGCGTGTGTGTGCGTGTGCGTGTGCGTGTGTGTGTGTTTCAGAGAGAACGGGACAAACAATTTATAGAATCTGTAATCAGACATAGTTCCAGCTGAGAACCATATGCAAGATGAGGAAACGTAAGAACAAAAATAGTGAGAAAGTGAGGAGGGAGGAAGCAACAAAAAGGGAGAAGGCAGGGAGGTTAACCAGAAAGACATCCGGTTGCTACCCTACACTGGGGGATTAGGGAAGGGGACAAGAAAGACGAGAAAGAGGGAAGAGAGGGAAAAGAAAAAAAAGGTGGGGGAGAGACTGACAGTAATTTCACTGCAGCGTGTAGAACTCTACCGCATGTCAGAGGCGTTCACACAAGCCTTTCTCAGGAAACACAGCAGGGCTTTCACAGCCTTGTGGGCTGTCGAGGCATGTGGACGTTGCTGTAATAGCACCTGCACAGAAAGAGGCCGATCATCCAGTCACCGCATTGCGTTGGCAAGTGCTTGTCTATCTGAGGCAAATCGAGGACAATGGCACAGCAGGTGTTCAATATTTTCGTCGGTGCCGCAAACATCGCACGCCGCACTGTCAGTAATTCCGATTAACGTGGTATAAGCTTTCGTGAAAGCAACTCCCAGCCAAAGGCGCATACACAAACTAATCACGCCAACTGAACAGCAGTAGTTGGAGATGCTGCTAAAGCTTCTCGTGATGTGGTCGACGACAGCCTATAGATTTGCGAGTGAACCACGATGCATCAGTAAGGAAAATCAAGCTTTGGAGTTTGGCCAAGGTTGGAGGTGAAATGAGAGGCAACTTTATTTACCTATTAGACCGCTTTGATATTAGGTGCTTTATGCAGGCAACCCTGTGACAACGAACATTCTCTGAAAAGCTCCTCGGACGCCTTTATATGTATTTTCGTTTTATTTCGACAGACGCACCACGCTGCAGAAAGGGTATGCAGGAAGTGTTCCGGTACTCGACATCTCGTGAGGAACTCCTCATTCCGTGCGAGATGGACTCCGACCCAGAAGACCTCACGTTTCACTGGGTCATGAAAAACAACTCAGAGGTGAGGAAACCTGCTTTCAAAGAGCCATAAAAACAGTGCCGAAGTTTCATTATGCAGAGCCGCAAAATATACGCGTGCTGAGCCTACCAATGTATAGCCGAAATGAAACCGTTGTGAATAATGCTAAGCATGCATGTACCTGCAATACTACAGATATCATGCAGTTTCGAAGAAAACTCCATGCTTGTTACTATGTCTAGTGTTGACTGCATAGAGGCTTCCCATTCACTTAGTAGGGTGAAGTGGCGGAGACGTAGGGGTGAAGGGGTGGGAGGCTGCAGTAAAAACACCGGTCTAACTGTGCACTGAGAGCAAACAATCCGAAACCAATCTAGCACTGTTGTGATAAAAGTATGAAGATTGGTTCATTCCTGTGATACTGCATGCATAGAGTAGAATAAGTAGTCCCTAATTATGGCTGCTAGGCTATACGGCCGGGAGTCTACAAACTACTTTCACATTCGCGTGAATAGTGCGTACACCCTTACTATCGCAGACCTGGTAACCCGCCGATGCGTGCAGAATAAGAAATGAGTTGGAGGCGCACTGGCACAGTATTCAAGTTAGCCAACTCAAGTTAACTCAAGTCAACGCCAGAACGCCTGACTTAACTGCAAGCAGATTATAAGTGCTACTTGCATGCCACGTGAACACCGCGTAGACAACAATTATAACAAGTTACCGTTAAGCATCGCCCAGGCTGTCGACCGGGAAGCGTCTCCAAGAAATCGCTGAAATATTTTTGCCGGGGAGGGGGGGGGGAGGGGGCTAAACACACCATTATGGAGGAAACGCTATCATTAAAGTGACTTTGAGCTCGCTTACAAATCGTAACCACCGTTTTGCGGGCGTTACACTTTCATGCAGCAATGTTATCCGCTGACCAGTGCGTGCTTACGTCTAAACAATGAAGGCCAAACCTCATAAGCGCGAAAATGCACGCGACAGCGACAAGCGACGCGACGTAGATCGGCTTCGCGCCATCAGTCGCTAGCGCAGGCAAACCTCATTCACGCGACGGCTTCGGTGAGCGAATTCCACTGTTGCTGGCATGAAGCCGTCTACTCGCACCAAGAAAACCGCGTAGCAAGCGGTATGCAATTTAAAAATAAGATATATTGTTGTGTAATGAAACGGAAAGTGTTCATTATTGCATTGCAGCACTTTTTTATATGCACATGCGTAATAAACATTGTGTTATTTCTTGTTGCGCATACGTGACTCGGGCAGGGTCACGTGCACCTATGTAGTCTTTGTCTTTTCCGGTATTTCGCTATTGGCTGCTTGAGCCCAGCACTTCCGGGCGATGAGCGACGGTTTCCAAATCTGGAGAACCGAGCGATCGCGCGAAAACGAGCACGCGACACGTCGCGCGAACGCCCTGTTTCGTCGCTCATAGCGTCGCTCGTCGCTGTCGCGTGCATTTTCGCGCTTATGAGGTTTGGCCCTTATGCGGAAAATCGTACGACAAAACAACATCGAATTATAGCTGCCGAATGTGGCTTTTCGTCTAGTTGTTGTCAACTGGATACAATATGCCGGTGATGTGGACGGGTAAAGAGTGCTGCGGTCAATTCTACTCACACAACGTATCCTATAATCGACAGAAATGACGAAGGAGTTAAACAAACGAGACCGCGTTATCATTATTTTATTTTTTTTTCACTGGTCATAGGTGCGAGATCTTCTCACATTCACAACCAACGGGACCCGAAGCGTGGCTCGCTACAAGCCAGCCGTCGCCACCGAGTTCGTGTCACTCGTGTGCTGGGCGAACAACTCGGTGGGATCACAGAAGCAACCCTGCACTTACTTCGTCGAGCCACACGGTACGCTGAAAGTCTACTTATGGCCACACGGTATACGCTGAATGTGTACTCATATTTTCTTCGGGGCCCGCGATGCATGTACCATACAGCAAATGCTTATTTGCGTAAAGTCTATTCTCTTTTTTTGCACATTTTTTCATGGATTCCATAGTTGAAGGAGCGACTGTGTCCGTGAGACTGTGAGAAAACGTGGACAGATATGCAGAAGAGAGCATGGTTACAAAATACGCGAACTATCTTGTTGTGCTACACATTTCTTTGATCTTTCGAACAAACGTCGCGTAAAACGACTCCTCGACTACCCCTGCAGCTTTTAACGACAGCCAGCCGTCTATGTCCGCCTCGACAAGCTTCGCACAATCTCTAGTTGTCTGCGGGGTTACTACCCTGACGAAAACAAATTTTTTAGCCACACCAATATTGCCTGTTGAGAGATTCTTCGATTCTTGATCGCTTCAAGCCACTGCGTAACCAGAAAATATTGCAGGGCAGGGTGCCTAACAAAACCTTATGTATTATAATGCATGTGCTTGCGTCTGTTCGCGTGTATACATATACGCACAAAATGCAATGTGAAAGGGGGGGGGGGGGTAAACCATGGTTAAACGCATGCTTGCTGCACCACTGCCTACAGCTCCTCCTGAACTCTCATCAAAGTGCGACAACACCGTATGCAGGTGAGTAACCGCCGGCATTAGGAAAACGATGCAATTGAGGCGAGTACGTTCGGACGTTCGATAAAGGTGCGAAAAAATTCATCATGCAAGTTTTGTCAAAACAGTGTTTGTAGTTATGGGAAAAGCTGGATTTGTGTTACCCCGTGCTCGAATGACAGCTTCCATGTTAGCTTGTTTAGTACGTGACTCTAAACCTTACTTTGTAATGCTTCGCGATAATCTGCTATATCGCTATCAGTGGTTCGCCTTTCAAGCAAAACGGATCCCCCCACCCTCTTTTTTTTATAGTACTTCCATAAAATCTAATATGATACACAGAGTACACATATTGTATTAGTCCTATACAGTATCAACACCTTTTTCTTCACTGTTCTTTCACAGGTGCCCCGAAAGCCCTGTCCGGCTGCTCGGTGGTGAACCAGGCGATGACGTGGTTCTTCGTTCGCTGCTCCGAGGACGACTCGGAGGACCGGCCGGTGGGCCAGGAGTGGTACCTGCTGGAGGTGTTCCACGCGGACACGGGCGCCCCGTTGGGCAACGTGAGCGCCCGCGGCCGGCCCGTGTTCCACGTGGACGACATCCCGCCGGCCACCGAGTGCCTGGCCCTGGCCTACGCCGTCAACGAGCGAGGTGGACGCTCGGAGCCGGCGCGCGTCGTCGTGCAGGCCATACCGCCTCCTTCCAAGCTGCTCACCAGCGGTGAGTAAAGAGGGTCTTAGCAGAGGTGGATATCAGTGGCTTGTGGCATCACTTCACGTTGTGCCGGTTAGAGCGCGAAGAGCAAGGGACAGAGGCGAGAACGGGCAAAGAGAAGCAGTACTGAGGGACACTTATAGATGCCTAAACCACCACAGGAAGAAAGATAGACAGGGACGCTCTTTCTCTGTGTGTCTTTCTTGATTGATGATTGATTGATATGTGGGGTTTAACGTCCCAAAACCACGCTATGATTATGAGAGACGCCGTAATGAAGGGCTCCGGAAATTTCGACCACCCGGGGTTCTTTAACGTGCACCCAAATTTGAGCACACGGGCCTACAACATTTCCGCCTCCATCGGAAATGCAGCCGCCGCAGCCAGGATTTCGAACCCGCGACCTGCTGGTCAGCAGCCGAGTACCTTAGCCACTAGAGTGTGTCTTTCTTTCTGTGGTGATTTAAGTGTCTAGAATTTCCCTCAGTATGACGAACCAACTAGCCCAGCAACAAGTACTTCTAAGAGACAGTACATCTGCTTTGTCTCGTTCTGTTCGGTCCTCCTCTGTTCTGTTCTCGTGCACATGTGTTTTGTTCTAGCTGGCCTGGTGTGCAGAGGTTTATGATTATATCACTTCCGCTACTTCATATAAAAAGATTAAAACTCGCAAAGCACGAGTTTAAACGTCGGGCATTTTCAAAAGACCCTGCGCGCTGTTCCTTATTACGCGCCGTTGTTATCGGCCGTGTCCAGCGACGGTGACAGTCCGCGAAACCGCCGCGCTGAGTTTGCCCGCCACGCAAGACGAGTACGAGGGACGAAGCCCCGCGCTTCTAAGTTCCACAGCCAGATTTGTGCGTTAGTTCTGGCGTGACAGTGTCGACATTCTTGCATGATCTATGACAGGTCGCGGTTCGCCGACATTACTTCAATAGCTAAAATAATGAGTATTGTTTGAGGCATTGAGCTATTACCTTTTCTACAGCTCTCGAGATTTTTCGCCTTATGATTCGATGTCTCCAATAACCGCATCATTCCAGACACAATTTTACACCCATTTTGAAGTATCGACTCAGTCTCAGAAACGTTGTGCACGAGTGCACAAAGAAAGCAGCCGGAACGCATGTGCATTGGCCGAACCGCGAATTATACGTTCCACAATGTTTTCATTTAGTTTCAGGGTTGTACTGCCAGGTGGTAGACACTATTCAGTGTCATTTTCATTGACGAGACACCTAGCTGCCTGTTTGTGGATAGCCGATACCAAGTACGTTATGATACTATATAAACTTGACTATATAGCACAGCCAGTTGTTTTCGAAACACAATACGCTCGGTGTTAAAGACTGAAATAAAACGTACTTCCTCTGAAATAAGAAAAAATAAACGAAACAGTATTCTTTTTGTAATGGGCCGTTCAAATAGAGTTATTTTCTTTTCTCCTCCACATAAGGTAAAAGCTTTGCATCATGCGGGAAACTAGGTCAACCAATGCAATGTGTTTAGTGCCTGGTGCCTTTCTTTAAATAGTTTATTTAACAGATAACGGTCTCGCCTTCACAAGCGCCGACTACTCCTGGTGCCATGACTGAGGAACTGGTTACAATAAAAATGTAACTGCATGACATATTTATACACGAATACAGTGGTGTAGATTTTGCTCTAACTCCGTCGTACACGCATTGTGATGTCATTGTCAGAAACGCGTGAAATTTGCGTGACATAATTGAAAGTAACTCAGCATTACACGCAGAGAAAAAAAGCCTGAGTGTGTTGTTTTGCGCGAGTTTCAATAATTAAAGTGAATGAGTGTGCAACAAAAGATCTAACTATTCTGCTACCAGCCAGTTTCAGTACATGCACACACAAATAACTGTTAGGCCCGAAATGCATCCACAGTTTACTTTTTGGTTGTATTCCTTTCGAGAGGGAGAAAAATGCTTTTCACATTGGTCCTGGAGCGCGGTACGTCGAACGATCGTGAAACATGGTAGTGTCTCCAACAAAATGATCCTCTGGAACAATACAGAGCACAATAAGTTAAATGACTGCTGCAAGTTCTACACTAAGGAGAGCTTCAGGAATGGACTCACTGACTTTCAAGCCATTTGAAGGTACAGGCCGAGTGTGACGCCCTCTTGAACTTCGCGTCCACAAATGTGCACGCCGTCCCTGAAATGGCTAAATAGCACTCGTTGTACGAGAATAAATTATCAATACAACTAGCAGCCTACATTTTTAACCCATGCGTAAATCAGTTTCCAAACGTTACGTTTGTGGCTACACTCTCTCGCTCGGCCCAACGAGTACGTTGAAGTTGATCGTCGTCTTATTAGAGAGTTTTAGTACTGCGTACGCTGCGTACGTGGCGGCGTTGCGTACGTAAGGACGCCACGTTCTGCGTAGTGCGCATGCGCAGACCGCAACGCACCCGTATCGCGTTACGTACACAGCTGCTACGTACGCACGCATGAGATGCGTGCGTGCGTACGTATGAGGTGATCACGCCGCTCTCGAACAAATTCGCGACAGCGCGAGACTTCGTTTTGCAAAATGGCGGCATCGAAGCCAAGCACCGACCGGCTCTGTGGCTTAAAACATGGCCATAATCTGGCTATAACACTTGGATTGGCTCACAGAACACGTGCTTCTTTTTTGATCTACCAGATGACGCAACACGCGTCACGCTCGTTGCGTACGCGGGTACTACGGCGTACTAAAAGCCGATTAGTGGCAAACGACGCCACGTAACGCAAGGCACTTGGGTGATGCGTACGTAGCACCATTCCGCAGTACTAAAACTCTCTATTATTGCGCGACATTCCTTATCGTTCCAACTGAACGCACGTCATTGCACCTTTGAGGCGCAGTATAGGTTTCAGCGTGATCAATTCAAGAAATTAGAACGGTTGCGAACGGACGAACGACGTGAGGGAAAGAACTGGGAGTGAGCGCAAACCTGACTGGCACGTGAGAATAACGAATGAGAGTGACTGTGATGAAACTTCAGCTCGCGGAAAAAGACAGCGAAAAAGACGACACAGGACGAAGTGCAGCCCCTATTAGTGTGCTCAAGTTTCATCGTCGATCTGTATTAACAAGCGCTGCTGCACAACCCAAGACAAACACTGCTCTAGCATTTCCGGTTTGGGCTCAAGTATGGTGTAGCATAATATTGTGTTGTGTTCGTGCAGAGGCACTCACTTACTCACTCACTCGTTAGTTAGTTATTCAGTCAGTGAACAGCAAAAGTAGAAAGGTTCGCCAGAGCCTCAATATTCAACTTTGGTTGTTTTCGGCTCTGAGGGTATTTTGTTAGCTGTGTGCGAACTTCCACTTTGCCGTATTTTAAGGAGAAAATGCTGCTGTCAAGAAGTCTCGATCGACAAAAAGAACCCCTACTTTGTAAATTAAAATCTCCCGAGTATATTATTTGCATTTTCCCGCTTATTTTGCATTTCCACGTACAAAGCAGCACACAAGGGGCTTCGATCGATTTTAGACAGCGCTTCCACGTTATCACGTGACTTCCATTTTTTTGTCTTTTTTTACTTTGTTATTGCCATGGCACTCTTCTTCTGCTATCCGAGGTCACATTGCCGTTCTATATTCCTCTATAATACGTCGTTCCCAGGTTAGCTTCTCCTTGTCTTTTTTTTCTCCCTCTCTTTTTCCTTCACGTACAACTTCTTATGACTAAACAAAGAAAAAAAGCTTATTTGCACAAAGACCACAACTAATGTCAAAATGACGTTTGAAATTGCCCTCTGTTACAAGCACGTAATTGGAGAATAACAGCTGGACTGTTTTCTGGACAACGCAATTACATTTATTCCCGTGTGCTGGCACACCAAGTACTTCAATTGCCCGCATTCACGTTTATATAAATGTCTCTATAAGACATGTTTTAGCGGCACGAAAAAAAAATGAAAATGCGATCGAACGCACTGGTGGTCGGTCCGCGCTAGTAAGATGAGAAATTAAGGCGGAAACTTGGTCAGCCTCCAGAGGACCGGGCAGTACTTCGAGACTTTCATCGGACCATCGGAGCCAATTAAGACTTTGCGATTGCCAGCACCGGGCCCGGGTTTATGAGAATGTTCTCGCGCTTGAGCAGTTGGCGTGTACGTACATCGCCGCAAATTACACGAGGCGGATGACCAATCGCAAGCAGCACCTGGAAGCAAAGCCATTCGCAAGTTTCCGTCCGTGATGGATCCTCATATGATTGGTTATATACTGTTATGCCAGCGAGTCCTCGTCAAACGTCCGTGCCTCTGAAAAAGGCAATCTGGCTCAAGGCCAGCCCGCAGTCCGCCTGGCGCGATCACCTCGACGGCGTGAACACGCGCGGCGCCCCTCTGGCCCACGTGCAGTGAGTCAGCTGCGCACGTGACAGCGAGCCGGCGTCCTCGTGTCTGGTGGTCTGACGCATGGCGCGGCAACCCCATTGGAGGAATCTGCCCTGACGACCAGCGGCGCTTCTGATTGGACATTTTGGTTGGACCCGGTGTAAATAAAAGAAGCCCTGCGGCGCGTCGCGATCGGCGGTCCTGAGAGAGGAGTCCCCATGTCGGAGAGCCGACATGTGTATGAGTCAGCGGTCTTAGGCGAAAGGCTGATCTATGTGTTAGAGAGGAGAGCTCGGCTCTTCGAGTCTCTGTCGGCCCCAGTGCCGAAATTGTAACGCCTCTGTATATATGCTGTACATAAACCTTGTTTAACTCACCGTCGTCTCGTCCGCTCGTCTTATCAGCTCTGCGCAGAAGCAGTCGCGAGCTGAGAAACATACGCTACCAAACGGCTGGTGACCTTCCCGGCGAAGTTGAAAGCAGTGGCGCCTTCGAGGCCGTGTTGGCGTCGCCGTCTTTCGCAACAATACATGTTATATACATGGTATACAGCGAGTCGTCCATCAGCCATTTCAGCCAGCGAATGTTTATGGTGTTGCACATCCGAGCTTTAGGACGCGGGTTTGACTCTGTCAACTCAGTTTAAGCGCACATTAAAA